TTGAAGCGCTCCAAGAGGCGCCTCTTCAACTCAGGTAGCGCCTTAGAGTCGGCAGAGACAATTAAATCGTCCACCTCAATGAGCACGAGCGCCTGGAGTCGGCCGCTGCTGGCTCTCTGTAGCCACAAGCAGGGCTCGAGCAGCGCGCGCTGGAATCCGAGCTCTTCAAGATATCCCGCGAGGGTGCGGCGCCATAGAAGTGGGGCATCGTTAAGCCCGCACACTGGGGCGATCACCTCGATCAGGGCTTCACCCGCCCCTTCGCCTCCTCCTCCTCCTCCTCCTCCTTCTCCTCCTCCTCCTCCTGGTCCTTCTCCTCCTCCTCCTCCTCCTCCTCCTCCTCCTCCTCCTCCTCCTCCTCCTCCTCCTTCTCCTCCTCCTCTGGGCCCCGAGAGGCGCTCCCCATGACCGGCTCCTCGCACCGAGCCGCTGCCCGACGGCCCGAGAGGCCTGGTCAGAAAGCGCCTTGCCTCCAGGACCCCCTTTCCTGGGGGAAGCACAGGCAGCACCGCTGCCCCTTTTCCGTCGCGGTGCGGCAGAAGCGATCCGCTCGCGCGTGGAGCAACATCGGACTGCGGAGTTGCGCATTGTCCCGCACGCGCGAGGAGAAGCGGGGGAGGAGAGGGGTCGGCCGCGGAGGGAGGGGGTGAGGCGGGAGGCGCTCCACACGCGGCGACGCCACTGACACGTCACCGTGGGGAATCACGAGAGCGCGCCACTGCCGAGGAAGCAGCAGTCACTGCACCGACCTCGCAGACGTGCTGCAGCGGATGTTTGCGTGGATTTCTGCCAATGCTCAACCCCGAAACGGCGAGTGAAAAACGAAGCGAATTTCGCGTGGACTTTTGTCGGTCTTCATTCCTGGCCCCCCCCAAAAAAAATCCGCACGAACTTCACCTCGAAATCCGGAACGAAATCCTCCAGGACACTCTGGGCCCATCCTATCCGCTACCGACCGAAATCCGCTCTGCCATGTTGGCGCCACGACAGCAGGCCTTCGGGAAACAGAGGAGCACCACGCTGGCGGCCTCCCCACGGCGACGGGCCGCCCATGCCCTGCTCCCCTCCCGACCTCTCCTGTGAGGCGGGGGGAGCCGGGTCCACCGCCTGGCGAACCGACGTTCTGGGGCCTCCCCAGGGGCGGTGGATAACTTAGTATAACCACCGCCGTGCCTCGGGGCACAAAGGGGAGTGCCCCCCCCCCAGGTCCTCAAGACTTCTCTGCGCTCTGGATTCAGCATTGAGACGACTCCGTTAGGGGCAGGGAGCCCCAAATCCCGAATCTCCTCGGCGCTCCCGCGCGCTTTCCGGCTTCCTCGCGTGACCTTTCCACAGGCCAGGGGGCCCCGAAACGAACCAAGAGGGTCCCAAGAAGCGCCCAAAAGGGCCCAAGAGGCCCCCCAAGACGGCCGAAGAGCGCCGCAGGACGCCCCCAAAATGGCACCAAGACGTCCCACTAAGAGACCCCCAAGACGACCCAAGAGGGATCCAAGCGAACCGCCAAGAGGGCCCGACGAAGCGCAAATCTACGTTTGTTTTGTCGGTGGTTGAACCATTCCAGCCCCAACGGTTCCTTCTTCTCCGTCTCCCTCCGCTCGTCCCCTCACTCCGCGCCTCCTCTCTCATTCCCCTCTCGCTCCTCGTTTCGGCCCGCCTTGCCTCACTTAGAGGCTGCGGGTGTGGCTGAATTCGCCGGCCCAACGGGCCAGGGCGTGCTAAGATCTCCGGTACCTGGTTAACAGTATTTCTAGTTCGCGCGCGCGGGGCGGCCCCTGGGGGTCCCCGGACGAAAAGTACCCCGGCAAGGTCCCGGCAAGGTCGGGCCAGAGATGCCGGAGCCCTGTTACAGGGCCCCAGGACGGGCCAAGAGGTCCCCAAGAAGCCTCCAAGACGGTCCAAGAGGGCCCCGAGACGGCCAAAGATCGCCCGAAGACGCCCAACAGGGCCCCAAGACAGCCCAAGAGGCCTCCAAGACGCCCCAAGGGCCTTCCAAGAGGCCTCCGAAGAGGGCCCCAAGAGGCCAAAATCGTTGATTTTCATTGTTTTTTCGATGTTTTTTGCGTTCTGGCTTTTTCGGCTTCCGGACGCTCCAAGACGGCCCAAGAGGCCCCAAGACCGCTCCAAGACGGCCCACGAGGCTCCCAAGACGGCCCCGGAACGGCCCAGGAGGGCCCCCAAGACGGCCCAAGTGCCGCCCAAGACGGACCAAGAGGCCCCAAGACGGGCCCAAGAGGGGCTCAAGAGGAGAACCGAGAACTGAAAAATCGAGCCCTCCGCCCCAGAAGGCGCCCAGGAGGCCCCAAAAAGGCCCCAAGAGGCCCCCAAGAGGCCCCCAAGACGCCCCAAGAGGCGCCCAAGAGGCCCAAAAGAGGCCCCAAGAGGCCCCAAAACGGCCCCCAAGAGGCCCCAAAACTCGGCTAGCCCACAACGGTGCGACAATATGGGCCGGCGGAATGAGCGAAGCGATTAAATAACGCGCGTTCTTGATACACCGCGTCCTGGCGTTCTTCTCATTATGAGTACCCGTAGTACGCTTACGAATACTATCGATATGTATACATTGTTTGCCCTGGTACAACTACGAGTTGCATTGTCAATTATATTCGCAGTATGAGTATTACTAGTGTTGCTGCTTAAGATTGAAATAGCCATTATTAATCGTATGAGTAATGATATAGTAGTAAGTGTTACTACTTTCCTCATAGTACCATTGCTGGCAATGCGAATCTCAATCTGTAAATGTGAACGATATTCTCATGAGTAGAATTACTAGTCGCATTCTAAGCCGTATTAGTAGTAGGAGTAGTAGTAATAGGAATAGGAATAGTAATAATAAAAGTAATAGTAATAGTAATAGGAACAGTAATAGGAATAGTAATAGTAATAGTAATAGTAATAGGACTAGTGATAGCAATAGTAATAGTAATGGTAATAGTAATAGTAATAGCAGTACTAATAGTAATAATAATAGTAATAGTAATAGTAGTAGTAGTAATAGTAATAGTAATAGTAATAGTAATAGTAATAGTAGTAATAGTAATAGTAATAGTAATAGTAATAGTAATAGTAATAGTAATAGTAATAGTAATAGTAATAGTAATATAAGTAATAGTAATAGTAATAGTAATAGTAAATAGTAATAGTAATAGTAATAGTAATAGTAATAGTAATAGTAATAGTAATAGTAATAGTAATAGTAATAGTAATAGTAATAGTAATAGTAATAGTAATAGTAATAGTAATAGGAATAGGAATAGTAATAGTAATAGCAATAGAAATAGTGATAGTGATAATAATACTAATAGTAATAATAATAGTAATAGTAGTACTAATAGTAATAGTGATGGTAATAGTAATAGTGGTAGTAATAGTGATAGTAATAGTAATAGTAATAGTAATAGTAACTGTAATAGTAATAGTAATAGTAATAGTAATAGTAATAGTAATAGTAAGAGTAAGAGTAAGAGTAAGAGTAAGAGTAAGAGTAAGAGTAAGAGTAAGAGTAATAGTAATAATAGGAATACTAACAGTAATAGTAATAGTGATAGTAATAGTAATAGTAACAGTAATAATTATAGTCACAGTAATAGTAATAGTAATAGTAATAGTAATAGTAATAGTAATAATAATAGTAATAGTAATAGTAATAGTAATAGTAATAGTAATAGTAATAGTAATAGTAATAGTAATAGTAATAGTAATAGTAATAGTAATAACAATAATAGTAATAGTAATAGTAATAGTAGCAATAGTAATAACAATAGTAATAGTACTAGTAATAGTAATAGTAGTAGTAGCTGAAGTAGTAGTAGTAGTAGTAGTAGTACTAGTAGTAGTATCAGTACTAGTGTTAGTATGAGTCGTATCCTGAATAGTAGTACTCATAGCATGTGTATGCTTAGTATTCATATTGTTCGTATACTGTTTCGTATACGAATTATTGATATGCGTCTTAAGTGCATTCGTCTGATTAGTGATCTTAACGTGATTATTAATAGATAGTCACATCTGCATGTCAGTAGTACTAATAATACTGGTATTCGTGTTAGTATTAGGAGCTAACAATATTACTATAATCATCAGGCACGTTAATAATGCTATTGCTACTAGCACTATAAAATGTGTTAATATGAGTATGGTGGTAATCACTAACAGTAGTGCTGCGTTCTTCGAACATTCGCAATATCAGCATTAATACTCTTATTCGTAATGATAGTATTCCTCTTCCTCTTGATACGATGATTCTATTCTAAGTATTCCGCCTTTGGGGACTTTCAACGCTCCAAGACGGCCAAGAGGCACCGCCCAAAGACGGCCCAAAAAGGGCCCTAATACGGCCCCAAGAGGCTCCCGAGACTGCCCACGAGGGCCCAAGAGCGCCTCAAGAGGAGCCCATGAAGGGGAGCACGACCTGACATCTCGAGTCAAGACCGCCAGCAGGAACCCCAGAGGCCCCCAAGAGGCCCCAAAAGAGGCCCTCAAGAGGCTCCAAAACGGCCCCCAAGAAGCCGAACTGCGCTCACGAGGCCCGCGAGAGGCCTCCCAGAGACCCCAGCAAACATCCAGGAGGACTCTGGTCCACGGCCCAAAGCACGGTGCCGTAGCATATTTTCTCTCTTTTGTTTTTATATAAAACATATAAATGTTTGTATACCTACGAACGTTACACGTACTTGTTTCCAGATTCGACGAAAAATAATTCTGGGGCAAACAAAAATCTTGTAGCCGATCTCCTACTCGAGTGGTTGCCTACGTCCCAGATCCCCGACGCCATGATTTGTTCACAACGTCGACTCCCCAAGTCTCGACCCACTCCCCGGGACCGACATTGCATCCTGGATCGTTTTTGACGCTCCCGAGGCCCAGTAGGGGCCTCCAGAGGCCGAAAGTAGCAAAAAGCCCTCCGCCACGATTCTTTCTCGTGACTCGAGAAGGTCTGCTCTGGGGTGTGGTTTTTGGATAGACCCCTGCCTCGGCCTGCCCTCCACGGCGAACCTTTTCTACTCCCCGCGCGCTGCGGCGCCGCCACCCGCCTCGGAGCCGGCACCACCTCCGCCGCTGCCGCCGCCCCCGCTGGGCCCCGGCAGCTCCTGCTGGCGGCGGCGCCGACGGGGGAGGGGGAAGTGAGACCCAGACGGGGTCATGAGAAAGACACCACGGGAGGTTTCTGGCCACTTCCGGGCCCTGGGGGCCCTCCCCGAGCCCTGGGACCGTCAAAAAAGACTCGGGATAATTGGCCTGAGGAAGGACCCAACCAGATGCAGTTGCGATTGCCTCGTTGTGGACATCGCCTTCGGTGGATCTCCTTTTCGGGCCACGAAGCGTGCGAAGGATGTGCCGATTCGGGGAGGGGGGGGCGCACGTGCACCCTGTCACTGGGGCCTTCGGTGGAGCTGCCCACACGGAAGGACGCGGGGCACGGTCTCTTCAAAACGGGGGCCCCACACCGCAGGATGGCTGGGAAAAGCAATGCGCCATGGCAAATATGAGAGTAGTATTCATATTGACTAACTGCGGCGGGGGATGGGGAGGAGGAGGAGTAGCAGGAGGAAAGGGGGTGAGAGGGGGCGAGAGGCGGTGAGTGGGAGAGCGGGGGCGAGAGGGAGAGAGGGAGAGAGAGAGTGAGAAAGAGAGAGAGAGAGAGACGAAAAGAGAGGGAGAAAGGATAGACCGGTTTCGAGACACCGCATCGGCAGGCCCGGTGCGTCTCTGACGGCGGTGTCCTAAGGATGTCGCTCGTGCAAAAATGTAGCTCCCAAGGTCTCTCGCTCGGGCCTGCCTTCTTGCCCCTTCTCTTGTCCAGACCTTCCTCCAATGGGGAACGACGACGTCTTCGCCGCCGCCGCCGCCTGCCGTAGTCGTCGTCGCCGTCGTCGGCGTCGCCGCCGCTGTCGTCGTCGTCGTCTGTCGTCGTCGCTCCCATTGGGAGGGTGGGAGGGACAGGAGAGGGGACAAGAAGGCAGGTCCGCGCAAGCGGTCCAGCAGGCGCTCTGCGCCTTCGCCAGCTTGCGCAGCGGCACGCATGCCTTTTGTGGTGGCGCCTGGGGATAGTCCCGCTTCCGCTGGCTCGCGCTCACCAGTGGCGCCTGGAGATGCACATTGTGTGCCAAGGAACTAAAGAGGAGGATAATGGCACGAGTGCAATGGCTGGCTTGGGAAAGGAGGAAAAGCAGCGGGAAGAGCAGGTGGAGGAGAAGGAGAAAGCTCTCTTACCCCCAGCCCCCGCCTGGAATGTCTTCGTCGCCACTGTCAGACTCTGGCCGGTACGCACTCCGTCGTGATCATCATCATCATCATCATCATCATCATCATCATCATCATCATCATCATCATCATCATCGTCATCACGGTCATCTATGTCATCGTCACAATCATCATCATCAGCATCAGCAGCATCATCATCATCATCATCATCATCATCATCATCATCGTCATCATCATCATCATCATCATCCTCATCATCTTCATCATCATCATCATCATCAACATCATCATCATCATCATCATCATCACCATCATCATCATCATCGTCATCGTCACCATCATCATCATCACCACCACAATCATCATCATCATCATCATCTTCATCATCATCATCATCAACATCAGCAGCAGCATCATCATCAATATCATCGTCATCGTCAGCAGCATCATCATCAGCATCATCATCAACGTCATCAGCATCAGTATCATCATCATCATCATCATCATCATCATCATCATCATCATCATCATCATCCTCACCATCAGCATCATCATCATCATCATCGTCATCATAATCATCGCCGTCGTCGTAATCATCGCCATCGTTGCGGGAGGTTCTGGTCCACCAGTGCGAGTCTGTCCTCCTCCTCCTCCTCCTCCTCTTCCCCCTTCAATCCTCTTCCCCCTCCTCCTCCACCTCCACCTCTTCCTCCTCCTTCCCGTTCCTCCTCAGCCTCCTCCGTTCGTCCTCCTCCGAACACCGACGGCCTCCGACGGAGGTATCCGCAGGTCTCCTGACGCATCCCCTCCTCCTCCTCCTCCTCCTCCTCCACCTCCTGCTCCTGCTCCTCCTCTTCCGTTCGTCCTCAGCCTTCTCCGTTCGTCCTCCTCCGAACTCCGACGGCCTCCGGTTGGGGATGGAGGCGAGAGGAGGGATATCCGCGCTAAAACGGTTCCCGGGCTCCTCCCGGTGTCCAAACGCCTCCAACGCTCTCCGCTCGCTCCGTCTGCGGAACCCCCGGGCCCTCGACCCCAGACGACGACGACGACGATGACGACGACGACGACGAGGACGACGACGACGACGACGACGACGACGACGACGACGACGACGACGACGACGACGACGACGACGGTGGCGACGACGACGACGACGACGACGACGACGACGACGACGACGACAGCGACGGCGACGACGGCGACGTCGACGACGACGACGACGACGGCGACGACGACGAAGACGTGCCGCGCGAACCAAGTACTAAAAAACACCCCTAGGGACCTTCAGAACCCACTCAACCAAGTACAAAAAAACACCCCTAGGGAATCTGTCGGGACCACCAGGGACCCCGTATTGAAAGAATCACGACATCGGATCCGTGGAACCTTTGGTAAGGCTCCCTATAGGGCTATGGGGCCACGAAGCGTGTGAGCGGTGTGCCGAAATGGATGTGGCGGACGCGGGTGCGAGTGCGAGTGCGAGCGCGAGCGCGGGCGCGAGAATGGGCGCGGGCGCGAGCGCGGGTGCGAGTGCGAATGCGAGTGCGGCATGTGGACTGTGGAACGCGGGTGCGAGCGCGAAGGCGCAGGTGAGTGCGAGCGCGAGCGCGAGTGCGAGTGCGAGTGCGGGCGCGCGCGTGCGAGCGCGGGTGCGAGCGCGAGTGCTATCGCGCGCGGGCGTGAGTGAAAGCGCGAGCATGAGCGCGAGCGCGAGTGCGAGCGCGAGTTTGAGCGCGAGTTTGCGAATGCAAGTGCGAGCGCGAGTGCGGCTTTCAGTGTGAGTACGAGTGCGGGCGCGAGTGCGGGTGCGAGATGGACCGCAAGGGCGAGTGCGCGAGCGAGAGTGCGCGAGCGAGAGTGCGACTGCGAGTGCGAGCGTGAGCGCTGGCATAGGCGTACGCGTGGGCGTGGGCGTGAGTGCGGGTGTGAGTGCGAGTGCGACTGCGAGTGCGAGTGCGAGTGCGAGTGCGAGCATGAGTGCGAGTGTGGGTGTAAGTGTGGGTGTGAGTGCGAATGCGAGTGTGAGCGCGAGCGCGGGTGTGAGCGTGAGTGCGAGTGCGAATGTGAATGCGAGAACGAGTGCGAGAGCGAGTGCGGCAGTGAGTGTGAGTATGGAGTGTGGGTGTGAGTGTGAGTGCGGGCGCGAGTGTGAGTGCGAGCGTGGGCGTGGGCGCGAATGTGAGTGCGAGCGCGGGCGTGAGTGTGAGTGCGAATGCGATTGCGCGCATGAGCGTGGACGTGAATGCGAATGCGAGCGCGAGTGTGAGTGTCAGGGCAAGTGCGAGCGTGAGCGTGAGTGTGGGAGCGAGTGGGATTGCGAGTGTGCGTGAACTTGCACATGTGAGTGCGAGTGTGCGTGTGTGTGCGAGTGCGAGTGCGAGTATGAGTGTGGGCATGGGTGTGAATGTGAGTGTGGGTGCGCGTGTGCGTGCAGGTGTGAGTGCGAGTGCGACTGCGGGTGTGAGCGCGAGCGTGAGTGCGAGTGCGAGTCCGAGTGTGGCTGTTACTGTGAGTGTGGGTGCGGACGTGAGTGTGACTGTGAGTGCGAGCGTGAATGTGAATGTGTGGGCGAGAGCGAGAGCGAGAGTGTGGGTTTGAGTGTGCGTGTAGGTACGAGGGTGGGTGTGAGTATGAGCGAGGGTGTGAGCGCGAGTGTGAGTGGGAGTGCGAGCGCGAGCGCGAGTGTGAGTGTGAGTGCGCACGTAAGTCCGGGCATGTGTGCGAGTGCGAATGTGACTGTGAGTGTGAGTGCGAGCGCGGGTGTGAGAGCGAGTGCGAATCCACATGCAATTATGAGTGTGGGTGTGAGTGCGAGTGCGGGTGCGAGTGTAACTATAGGTGCGAGAGTAGGTGTAAGCGTAAGTGTAAGTGCAAGTGTAAGCGCAAGTGCAAGTGCGAGTGTAAGTGTACGTGCAAGTGTAAGTGTAACTGTACGTGTGAGTATAAGTGTAAGTACAAGTGTAAGTGTAGGTGTAAGTGTGTCGGTGTGTGTTGGTGTGTGTGTGTGTTGGTGTGTGTGTGTTGCTGTGTGTGTTGGTGTGTGTGTGTGTTTGTTGGTGTGCGTCTGTGCTTGTGTGTTTGTGTGTGGGCGTGTGTGTGTGTGTGTGTGTGCGTGCGTGCGTGCGCGCGCGTGCCTTCGTGCATGCGTGCGTTCGTGGGTGCGTGCGTGCATGCGTGGGTGCGCGGGTACGTGGGTGCGTGGGTGCGTGGGTGCGTGGGTGGTGCGGGTGTGTAAGAGTGTCTGCGCGTGTGCATGTGCAAGTGTGTGTGCGTGTCTGTGTGTGAATGTGTGTGTGGGTGTGTGTGGTGTGCGTGTGATGTGTGTGTGGTGTGTGGGTGCGTGCGTACGTGTGTGTGTGTGCGTTTGTGTGTCTGCGCGCGTGTGTGTGGGTGCATGGGTGCGTTGGTTCGCGTGTGTGTGTGTGTGTGTGCGTGCGTGCGTGTGTGCGTACGTGCGTACGGGCATACGTGCGTGCGTGCGCGCGTGCGTGCGTGCGTGCAATTGGGTATGTGTGTGTTTCTGTGTGTCTGTGTGTGTGTGGGTGCGGCCGTGCTTGCGTGCGTGCGTGCGTGCGTGCGAGTGTGCGTGTGTGTGTGTGTGTGCGCGTGTGTGTTGTGTGTGCGTGTGTGCGCGCGTGTGTTAAAGTGTGTGCGAATGCGTGTGAATGAAAGTGTGTGTATGTGTGTTTGTGCGTATGTGTGTGCGTGCGTGCGCGCGTGCGTGCGATCTTGCGCGCGTGCGTTCGTGCGTGCGGGCGTGCGTGCGTGCGTTCATGTGTGTGCGTGCGCGCGCGCGCGTGCGTGCGTGCGTGCGTGGGTGTACGTTCGAGCGTGCGTGCGTGTGTGAATGTGTGTGCAAATTTATTATACTTTTTTTCCCCGGGCAGGTGCTTGCACCTAGGGGTTCCTACTTGGTCAAACCATCCGGCCATTCCTGCCGGCGTTTCGCCCCCATGCTGCCCCGTGCCGCCCCCGTGCCGCCCCGTGCCCAGTAGTAGGACCAGTAGTAGCAGCAGCAGTATTAGTAGAAGTAGGTACTAGTAATCGTAGCAGTAGTAGTAGTAGTTGTTGTAGTACTAGCAAGTAGTAGTAGTAGTAGTAGTAGTAGTAGTAGTAGTAGTAGTAGTAGTAGTAGTAGTAGTAGTAGTAGTAGTAGTGGTAGTAGTGGAAGTAGTAGTAGTCGTAGTAGTAGTAGTAGTAGTAGTAGTCGTAGTAGTGGTAGTTGTAGTAGTAGTAGTAGTAGTAGAGTAGTAGTAGTAGTAGTAGTAGTAGTAGTAGTACTAGTAGTAGTAGTAGTAGTGGTAGTAGTAGTAGTAGTAGTGGTAGTAGTAGTAGCAGTAGCAGTAGTAATAGTAGTATTAGTAATGGTAGTACATTGTAGTAGTACTAGTAAGTAGTAAGTAGTATGCAATAGGTAGAAGTAAGCAGTGGTAGTAAGTAGTAGTAAGTAGTAGTAAGTTGTTGTAGAAGTAGTGATAGTAGTAGTAATAGTAGTGGTAGTAAATATTAGTGGTAGTAAGTTGTGATAGTATTGGTAAGTAGTAGGTATTATGGAATAAGTTGGCGTATGTAGTAGTAGTAGTCGTAGTAGTAGTAATAGTAAGTAGTTGTGCGTAGTAGTAGTAGTACGTAGAGGCAGTAGTGGTAGTAGTGGTAGTAGTGGTAGCTAGTAGTACTGGCAGTTGTTGTAGTAGTAGTACTAGTAGTCGTAGTAGCAGTAGCAGTAGTAGTAGTAGTAGTAGTAGTAGTAGTCGTAGTCGTAGTCGTAGCCGTAGTCGTCGTAGTAGTAGAGTAGTAGCACCAGTAGGATAAGTAGTAGTAGAAGTACTCTACTTTCCACATAGACTGCACTCGCGTAGATTCTCCAGTCTAAAAGAAAGAGAAGCTCTACCCCCCCCCCAGAGTTAGCGGTACACCTCTTCGTATTGCAATTTAAATGTGATTCTGCACACCCGTCCATCCGAAGTTCATACTATCCCAGCCAGGCCGGTATCACTCCCCCCGGCCATCCTCAACAAAAAACACTATGCGCGCACTCTCGCTTATCAAAACGCATAGGTGCCATAAGTGTTCAAGAATCCCTTGCAAAACACGGGACGAGGTGCACACGCGCGCGTCGTCGAGCGCGCATGCAGAAATCCTTCAAGAACATTCGGTTTCGGAAGGATCTCAAAATCAAGTTCCCCAAAAAAACATACAAAAACACATGGCTACGCAACACTGATTGACTAAAAAAGCTTACGCGCGCGCTCTTGCGAAATCGTCAGAAAACCATTGGATTTTCAAGATTTACAAAAAAATGTTACCGAATGGGCTTCGCGCGCGCGCATCTCGAAATCTTTCGAACGCCCTTGCGCTCGTGCCGTCGCGAGAACCCATTGCAAGAAATGAGACGAAGTGCTGATGCGCGTGTCGTCGCGCGCGCATGCCGAAATCATTGAAAAAACCTTCGGTTTCGGAAGGAGTTCAAAATCGTATATCCACTAAAAAAACATACAAAATCACAAGGTCTCGCAACACGGATGTTCAACAAAAGCGTGCGCGCGCGCTCTTGCGCCGTCGTCGTCGTCGTCGTCGCCGTCCTCCCTCCTCCCTCGTCGTCGTCGTCGTCGCCGTCGTCGTCCTCTGTCTTTCCTCGTCGTCATCGTAGTATTGGCGTCGTCGTCGTTTCCGTCGTCGTTGTCGCCGCAGTCGTCCTTCCTCCCTCGTCGTCTTCGTCGGCGTTTCGTCGTTGTCACTCCTATTTCGTCGCCGTCGTCGTCGTCGTCGTCTTCCCTCCTGCTTCGTCGTTGTCGTCGTCGCCGTCGTCGTCCTCCCTCCTCCCTCGTCGTCGTCGTCGTCTTCGTCGTCGTCGTCGTCTTCGTCGTCGCCGTCGTCGTCGTCGACGTCGGCGTCGTCGTCGTCGTCGGCGGCGTCGTCGTCGTCGGCGTTGTCATCGTCGTCGTTGTCAGCGTCGGCATCGTCGTCGTCGGTGTCGTGGTCGTCGTTATCGTCGTCGTCGCCGGAGTCGTTGGAGACGTCGTCGTTGTCGTCGTAGTCGTTGTCGGCGGCGTCGTCGTCGTCGTTGTCGCTGTCGTCGTCGGCGTCGGTGTCGTTGCCAAGTGCAATTCGGTACCCACCGTCACGGCCTTAAGGGTTTTGCGACCAAGTTGCGGGTGAGAGGGTGGGATGTTTGCACGAGCAGTGGAGAGGACAGCTTCAAGTTGAGCAAGTGATTGGTTGTACCGTATAGAATGCACCTCATATACGATACTTATAGACTGCACCGCATATTTTGCACCGCATATAATGCATCCAATACTATACACAGCATCTACTGCACAACGTAGACTGATTGCACCGCATAGACTGCACCGCATAGGTCGCACCGCCTAGATGGCACCACATAGAGTGCACGACATAGATTGCACAGCATATATTGCAACACATCGGTTGCATCGCATACACTGCATCCAGTAGTCGGCACCGCATAGACTGCAAAAACCTACTGTTTGGGGCCCACGCTGGCTAACATTCTTCTTTCAAGGCAGAAAACCGCCATGGTCATAGGTATACGAAAACTCGACGCGCTTGTAGATTCGACCCGAAAAAATAGCACCCCACCTCTTGCGCAGATGCCACTTCGGTCGACGATCCCCTGCTCGAGAACGCGAATCTCGACCCTCCATACTGCGATCCTGGATGAGCGGCGCGGCCGCCGCCGAGGGTTCCGCGCCCTCGGCGCCCGGCAGGCACCCCGCCGCCTCGGCGACGCCGCGGCGCAGCAGCGGCGCCGTGGAGCCCTGCACGTCGAAGAGGCCCAGGCCCACGTCCATCAGGACCTGGCTGCCCTTAGGCCGGGCGTGTCCTCCTACAGGCGGATTTTGGACGAAAAAATAAAACATTGCCAACACGCGCTCAAACATAATCCCGAAAAAATCATAGACAAATCGTCCCCCCATAATTTTTGGGTTTTTTTGAACGTTCCCCCCGTTGAAGGACGTGCCCGATTTAAGACTGCCCACAAAGCACCCCAACCCAACCCGAAGCCGCCGGTGGGCCTTCCAATTTCCAATAAGGGGGGGTGGGGGGGGGGGCGTCCTGGAACCTCGAGAGCGACGGCGGACCTGAAGGAATAGCATTTCGCTAGAGGGTCTTGGTTGGATAAATATATACATATTTTATATGTAAACATATATATATATATACACGTAAATATGTATATCAGCCTGCCTGCACCTTCCCCGCCAGCAGAGACCTTTTCTGTGTGCGGTCGGAGGCGATCCGCCTCAGCTGGAGGCATGGCGAGCCGACGGCACCTGTTTGATATCATACAAGGGCCACTGCACGCACACACACACACACACACACATAGCGCTGAGAGAGTCGAACGGGGCAGCGAGAGCCAAGGGAGGGGGGGAGAGAAGACTACGGAAGCGTTGTACCGCTTAGCGGCGGTCGGGCTTGCCTAGATGATTCACGTGCGAGCACTTACATCAGCCTGCCTGCACCTTCCCCGCCAGCAGAGACCTTTTCTGTGTGCGGTCGGAGGCGATCCGCCTCAGCTGGAGGCATGGCGAGCCGACGGCACCTGTTTGATATCATACAAGGGCCACTGCACGCACACACACACCAAAACTATGGAAGCGCTCACGATGCCAGAAATACTGCTGGCCTACAGGCCGAAATCATACAAAGCGAGGGCTCTTTTGTTGGCAATGGCATTAGCGAAACATTGACATAGCTTAGCACACATCTTGCTGGGGTAAGGTTCGGCGATAGCCGTCAGAAACTTGTTGTCCTGCCTACCGCATAAAATCATATGGGGCTTACCAGTACGAGTACAAATTCCTTTACACGAGCGGCACCGTCTCTCGGCATCGCTCAGGTCCACAAAAAGCGAAACAAAACGGGTTCGCTTTCTCCATGGCTTTCCCCATTGACAGAAATCGGTGACGAATTCCCGGGCCTCTGGCCACTGTCTTATGCGGAGGAAGGGAGGAGAAACCCAGAGGCGCGAGGAGTGGGGGTTCTCAAGCACTACTGGGATGCGCAACCGTTTGCACAACAAAAAGATGGAGTGACAGAACCTCATCAATGCATTACCTTCATTGACTTTTCTTTGATCTGCGGGCGAGAGACCGGGCAGGCCCATCACGTGTTCAGCACTCCTCAAGGCGGGCGGCCCGCTGTTGTCCGACCTGCGGGCGGAAGACCAGCTTGCGCAGAGAAGACCGATCCAAACTGCCCGCACCATGCCTGCCATGAGCCATCCACGGATAAGCTTTTGATTGCTCGGCTTCAGCAAATCGAAACGGTCGCCATGCTTGATGTCCCATTCGAAGATGGGTATCCCTTTCAAGAAAGACGACTGGCGCCACGCTTGCGAGAAGTGGCCGCTGCCCGAGAAGAGCTCGAGCGCGACGCCTCGTCGCGACCGCCTGGCAGAGGCGCTGAGCAGCCGGAGAGGATCGCACCAATCCGTTCTCGGCACGCGCGGGCGTGCAGCAGCTGCTCGGACGACAGGCGGTGCAGCATCTCGGTCACGCGGCCTCCCTTCTCGTAGCGCCTCATGCTGGCACTGCTGAGCCACCTTCCCCTTTTTTGAGCGTCGGCGATCGGCCGCCGCCCACTCGCCACCTCGTGGCTCACCCCGCCGTGGCGCAGCTGGTACAGATGAGCCGCGCCCAGCGGGCCGTACCCCAAGGCCTCCACCGCCTTGGCGAAGCCGTTCGCGTACTCCACGTATGTCATCGGGAACAGCATCCCCTTGGAGCGGCTGAGGAGGTAGGCCCACACCTGGTTCAGGTCGTCGTACTCGGTGTTGTCGAGAACCATCGCCTCGTCGAACACGCCAGTCTTGCTCGGCTGTCCCATCTCTTGGCGATGGAGCAGCACGCTCCACCTGCCCAGCCCTCCCACGCTCTGGGGGAGAGGCGGGACCAGCTCCTCCCGGCAGAGCGACAGCACGTCGCACGGGCGGAGGTAGAGCACGAACTGGAGCATCACGGCGATCGGCATGTACCAGGGGACCCCCATGCACACCATCTCGTTGGCGATCGCGGCCACCATCAGCAGCGGGATGGGTAGCCTCGACCGCTCGGGCGCTACCTTGCAGAACCCGATCTGGGCTCGCCGCGCCCGCTGCAACTCCACGCCCGACTTCGACACGTCGAGCCATCGGAAGGCGGCTGCCGCCCTCGTCTTGCTGAAGTCGCTCGCCGAATGGCCCTCGAAGAAGAGGAAGGTCGAGTACTTCGCCAGCGCCGCGTCGCGCTGCGCCAGCGTCCGCAGCTCCAGCTGCTTGGCCGCCGCCCAGCGCTCGAACTCGTCCATCAGCGTGTTGTACAGCGCCTCCACGGGCTTCGACACCGATCGGGCCTCCAGGAAGGTGCGGCCCTCCGAGGCCTGGTAGGCCTTCGCCTCGGGCTGGCGCGCCCTCCTCTGGGCGGCCCGCTTGGCCTTCGCCTCCGCCGCTGCTGTCGGCCTCCGAGTCGCTGAGGGCGCAGCGGCCGCCGCTCGGCTGAGCTGCCCGCTGCTCGCCGCGGGCGACGCTGCCGCCGCCAGGGCAGGGCGGCGCAGCATCGCGCTCTGAGTCGGCCCGGTGCCCCGACCTCGGGCTGCCTGAGTCGGATCCAAGACGTGGTACGGAACCGAGGAAATGACGATGTAGTGCTGATGACGTTGATGGTGGTGCATATATTCGTGATGGCTCATCTGCTGGGTTTAGCTCGCTCATGATCCATCGTACGCTAGGCATAACATTGGCTCCGAGACATAGTGCGCTCCATTGTCTGCAGATGCGATTCATAGGTGATGACGACGATCTCCCCTTTGAAAACATCAGAGCGATACTCATAGCGTCGACGATGAATAATAGCTTTTTGCCAAAAGATCTCCGACGTCGGAGCTGGTGCTTCAGGGCCCAGAGGACCGCTCTAGCCTCGAGCAGGGGCATGTGTTCGGACTTCCACCAGCGGCCAGCAGACACAACTCTCCATTCGCCTTTCATGAGTTCAGGGCTGACTTCTCTGAAGTCTGAGGAAGGGGTACAGCTGTCTGGCCATTGGTTGTCCTTCTCCTGCGATCGCAGCCTGCTCTGCTGCAACTCGCAGTGCAGTCGAGCCGGGGCGCCGAGCTCCTCACTCTTCGAGAAGCGCCAGCGCTCGCTCACCCGCCCGGCAGCTGCAATGAGCGGCACCGCCCGTTCCCCCTCTACGACGCCGCGACCCCACGGCGACGCGTCGCTGACACAGACCGTGTCCGACCACGCTGCCCCGAGATCACGACGCAGCAGAGGGAGTAAGGGGGACGCCCATTTCAACTCCCTCCTGACGGCAGGCCAGAGGGCAACCTCCCGCTCACGATTCTGGCTGACGAAGGCATAGACGGCCCCGAAAACTGCCAGGAACTCACGGCGCAGCAAGCCCACGAAGGTGAGGTGGCCTATGATGATCTCGATCACACGGCCCGACACCCTCGGGCGGCGCAGCACCTCCTGGATGCCCAGCCGCAGCCGCCAGAGGCGAAGCCGACTCGGCCCCACCAGGCTGGTGTCGGTCGCGAATTCCCAGCCGAGCGAAGCGCCGCCCTGGCTCACCTCGACCCCGTGGGTAGGGAGCCCCTTCGAGCGGAACAGGGCGTCCACCCGCCGAGCAGCCTCTGCCGCAGGGCCTTGCTCGCCAGCGTACGCCACGAAGTTGTCCACGTACTCCGTGTGGACCATCGGCTGCATGGCTGGCACCTCGGCCCCGTCGGACGTCCTGTTGGCGGCCGAGATCCCTTCGATCTTGTCCACCATGGCTTCGTGGATGATCTGACAGGCCATCAGCGCCTGATTCCAGCCCATCGGGATCACCTTCAGGCACGGAAATACGACTCCATCACCGTCTCCACCAACATCGCGGGCGCGAAGGCGAGGAAGGGCGAAGTACCCGCGGAACTCGGCCGGGAGCTCCAGCGCGTAAAAACAGCTCACGATGCCCACTCCGCCAAGCCACGCGGGCTCGCCTGCATCGACCTCGAGCATGGCGAAGCTTTGGCCCGTGGCCAGCTTGACGTCTGGTGGGTCAGCAAAGTGAGAGTTGGCCCATCGGGCATCAATGATCATACGTTGTCTGCCATCCTTTTTGTGGACCGCGAACACACCGACATCCTCCTCGCGGTGCGTCCTGTACTCGATAAGACCGCACGCCTCAAGCCGCTTCACCAGCTTGCAGTATTCACGGCGATTACGAAGGCGAGGATCCGTGAAAACCTTCTTCACTCCCGAACTCAACTTACGCTGCTCCGCCTCCTCTTTTGGCAGGAGCTTCTCCTGTAGAATCCTTGTGACTTCCACACCAGCTGGCTCATCCAGTTCCAAAAGAGGCACCGCTCGGTGACCTCGCTCAGGAAGTGCCAGGCAGTCAACATCAAGGTTGGCCAGGGTCGCGGGCTCGCCGTCGTAGCCCCGGCGGGCCAGAAGCTCTCGCAAGGCTTCCTGGCCTGAAAGCCCAGGAGGGGGGCGACCCACCTCCTGAGCACACGAAAGAAGGCGGTCGAGCACCATCTGCTGGCCCTCGGTGGCCTGCGCCCCCGGCGCGCCGCGGTGCTGCGGCCCGGCATTCATCTCGTTGAGCGACTCCACCATGTCGCTCGCCCACTTCAACTCGTGCTGATGCGCATGGAGGCGCTGGCGTGAGCGTCGTGACAGACTCGGTCGTGTCGACGCCGAAAAACTGGATGGCCCTTGAAACACATCAGGCAGCGGGAGCAGGTCGCGCTGTCGACCGTCAGCGGCTGGCAGTCCAAAACTGTGGGCAGCCTTCATGTCCGAGGACGCGGCAGCCGCCCGCATGGG